AAAGTAGAGGGTCAGTGAAAAAGAGGAAGACCCTCAACAAGATGGATTGACACAGTGGCTGCAACAATGGGCCCAAACATAGCAATGATTGTGAGGATGGCGCAGGACAGGGTAATGTTCCCTTCTGTTGTACATGGGGTCACTATGAGTTGGAACACACGCAACGGCACCTAACAACAGCCAGAAGAACAAACCAATTAGTCTTAGAAGGAATTCAACCAGAATGCTCCTTAGAAGCAAGGACAGTGAGAATTTGGCTTGCTTACTTTGGACACATAAGATCAATCACTAGAAAAGGGCATCATGATTGGTAGACGATCAGCGAAAATGAGAGAAACCCTCAACGTGATGGATTGGCACAACAGCCGAAACAATGGACTCAAACATAGCAACAATCACGAAGATGGCACAGGACTGGATTATACATAGGGTTACCATGAGTCTGAGCCAACCTGATGGTAACTAACAACAACATGACTATATAGTTCTATGCCATGTTATCATATGTGTAGATTTGTGTAACCAGCACTACAATCAAAACAGAACAATTTTATCACTACAAAGATCTCCTTCCTGCTGTCCCTTTACAGTCACACTCCCTCCCCCCACCCCCCACCATGAGGATCCCTGGCAACCACTAAGGGGGTCTCTATCTCTATAATTTTTAGACAGATATTTTTTAATTTCAGGGAAAGAAAGACACAAAAATCATTTTATTTATTCATTCATGTATACAACAAATAAATACCACCCATGCATTAGAAAGACATAGTGATTTAGGAAATAATGTTGGAGTCATTATTGCCTGTCCTTGAGCACAGAGAATGTGACCCAGCTGGAGATGGGCTTACAAGGACTCACAAGGACACATCAACTGGGCCGTGAGGTATAAAGACAATAGCTAGAATAATCTTGGAAAATATCTTTCAGGAAAGCTTTCACAAAAGCCAGTCAAACAAAATACAAAAGACTTTCCACTCTTATCTTTTACTATTGGCATTTAGTGAATAGAAAATTTGTTGGACCAATGAAGACCCTCCTGACTGTCATTACTGAAATCTGTACCAATGATTGTTAAGAAACACAATTCAAAATGTAGGATCACGGTTTCTAGTCAATCTGTGAAAAGGTGAAACTTTCAATGGTTTTGTCCATTTGTAATGTAAATATATACTGATGACTCTGTAAGTTCCTTCCACTTGGGCAGACAGTCTGTGGCAACATGCTTGTCCGTTTCCCCACTTCTGTCGCTTCTGTAATATTTCCTTGGATTCAGGCAGACATGGCTCTGGCAGCATGCTTGTCCGATTTCTCACTTTTGCCTCTTTGAATATACGCCGAATAAAACTCTCTTCTTGCTGTACTAAACTTTGTGATGTTTTTACCCTACCACAATAAGAATTGGGGAAATTCAAAACTGAATAAAAATTATTCATTTATTAATTTCCTTTCACTGCTTACTAATTATGCTGCCATTCATTAAGAATTGATTATGTGCCGGGCAAAGTTTTAAATCCTTTCACATTTGTTTTATACAATTTTTCTAGCAGTCCTAAGGATCCTTGGGTGCAAACGGTTAAGCACTCGACTTCTACCTGAAAGGCTGGCAGTTCGAATCCACCCAGAAGCATCTTGGAAGACATGCCTGGCAATTTGCTTCTGAAAGGTTACAGCCTTAAAAACTCTATAGAGCAGTTCTACTCTGCACACATGGGGTCGCCATGAGTTGGAATCGACTCAATGGCAACTAACAACAACAACAATCCCATGACTGATATTATTTACAGAGGAGGAAATCCTGGTGGCATAGTGGTTAAGTGCTACAGCTGCTAACCAAAAAAGGTCAGCAGTTCAAATCCACCAGGCGCTCCCTGGAAACTCTATGGGGCTGTTCTACTCTGTCCTATAGGGTTGCTATGAGTTGGAATCGACTCAACGGCAACGGATTTGTTGTATTTTTTATTTACAGAAGAAAAACTGAATATGCCAAACGGTGCCCTACTTAGCTCCT